ATATATATATAAAGGAGGTTGTATTATTACAAATCCATTAAAAAAGAAATACTGTTATTTTTAATATATCACCACCACCGCCGCCGCTGCCGCCACCACCACCCCCACCACCATCATGATCATCTTCATCCCCATCATCACAGTCATCATCATCATCATCATCATCATCATCATCATCATTGTCATCGTCATTGTCATCATGACCATCATCACCATCAACACAATCATTGACATCTGCACTGTCACTACCATCATCACCATCATCATCACCGTCACCACCATCATCGATCGATCGATCCATCCGTGTAATTAACATGCAATTAATCCCCCCCACACACACACACACACACACACACACACACACCTGCAGCACGCGCTGCCAGTCCTCGACGACTCGCTGGCAGCCCTGCAGCCGGTCCCACCACATCTGCCGTATCGCGTCGCGCCGCTCCGGCACCAGCTTGTACTGTATGATCTCCTCTAGCTCGGACAGCATCTGCACGGACACCATGGAGCCGTACGCGCGGCTGTAGCTCTCCCCGGCCATCGCCGTCAGCTCAGTGTCGAGGATGTCGCGCGCCTTGTCGATGCACTGCTGAGCGAGCGGGAACTGGTCGTTGTGCATGGATAGCACGGCGCGGTAGAACGCTCCGTCCTGCGGCCGAGAGAGAGAGAGAGAGAGAGAGAGACAAACGCATGAGTGTGTGTGTGAGAGGGAGAGGTGAGCGAGCGGGAATTGGTCATTGTGCATGGCCAGCACGGCGCGGTAGAACGCTCCGTCCTGCGCGTGAGAGAGAGAGAGACAAACACGTGAGAGCGCGCGAGAGAGAAACAAACGCGTAAGAGTGCAGATTCACAACGTCACAAGGAACATCGACGCAATCGTCGTCACCTCATAAAAAAGTGTCACCATCATACCTTCATAGTGCAAAAGCGTAACGAAGAATAAGGATCTAAGCAGGGCTTAGCATTGATAGAACTGATGGATCTACGTGAGCCCGAGCAGCAGGTAGACCGTGTGAGGTAACGAACAATAGCACTTACCTGCGTGTCCCTGGGAATGAGGCACGTGTACTCTTCCATCGACTCCCACTGATTGAGGCCCCACGCTGCCGCGGCGGCCATGCGAGCCATGCCCTGCCTCACGTCGTCATTCACCACCTGTACACAGCACGAGAGCAGTGAGAGAGAGAGAGATAGAGAGGGAGAGAGAGAGAGAGAGAGAGAGAGAGAGAGAGAGAGAGAGAGAGAGAGAGAGAGAGAGAGAGAGAGAGAGAGAGAGAGAGAGAGAGAGAGAGAGAGAGAGAGAGAGAGAGAGAGGGAGAGAGAGAGAGAGAGAGAGAGAGAGAGAGAGAGAGAGAGAGAGAGAGAGAGAGGGAGAGA